GCTAGATTTCAACAAGGACGACTGAATGCACATCGGGGATACCAAGATTCTACAAAACTGATATCTACAACAACTTCTTGAATAATCCTGACATGGTAGGGAAATATGAATCCTTTGATATTAAGAATTTATGCAAAGATGAATGCATATGTGCATGCATGATCAACTGGATTCTACTTCCAAGGGGTGAGGATCGTTCCATACTGAATGGTGAAGATGTGTATCTACTTTACGCATTGCAAACTAGTACTCAAACGGATTGGTCTTTAGTAATAAGTGATTATATGTTAAAGTGTGAAAAACAAAAGGAGTATCATCTACCATATGGTGTCTTTATCAGCAGAATCTTAAGAATGCAGAATGTGGATATCACAAATGAAAAGACTATTTGTTGCAACAAGAAGAACATTTTGGAAAGATTGTTCTTAGATTATGTGGGATTCAGAAAAGTTAAAGAAGGTTGGGTTTTCAAGGATGAATATATTCCCAGCACTGAAGAAATGAATCCTCAAAATGTTGACTTGTCAAGATATAAGTTCAAGCCTGAAACAAAATTTGAAGAATTTGTGGATGAAAGATTGAAAATATTGGATGAGAAAATGTTGATGCTTCAAAGATCATTCACTGAGCTGCATCGGAAGATGGACTATGCACTGAGAATAAATGCTTTTGGAGATACTTATGTAGATGATTCTGACAGTGCGAAGAACAATGTTGATAAAAAGATTGGGGAGTCCTCTAAAACAGAATAGGGGTCTTGTGTTTACAGTCTAGTGTCATGTGTTTTAGTTTGTTTGCTTAAATGTTTTGAGTATGTCTTTTGTAGTAGGCTTTATAAGTCGTTATCTTTGTTGTGTTCATCTGATTGTAATCATATTTCATATCAATGAAATTAGAATTATTTCTATATTGAGTACCTGATCATGTCTGATTTAAGTCGATTGTGTGGTGTATGAAGTTGATTGATTTACTATGTATCATTGTACTCATACATTTACATACAAAGAATTTACCTGTAATAATTCATGTATTAAAATGATTCTAAAATGCTTGATCTGGAAAGATCTTGAAAGGTTTTGCAGGAACATTGCTTCTGGATTAACTACTGGAGATACAATTCAAATGGAATGCAATGAAGTCGATTGCAACAGTGGATCAATCGATTACTGATTAACAGGGGTTATAAATTCCATGATTTGGAATTTGGTTATTCTGCTTATTGATCATAGACTGTTGATTGTTCCATTTTCAATATATCTTTGTTTTATTATTGATTGAAATTACTTGAGATAATATTGAGATTGTTGATTGATATTGTATATATGCTACATTGATGTGTTTGAACTATTTCTAATTTGATACAATACTGCCACTTGCCCATACATGTTATGAAATTTTCTGTGAAAACTGCATTGTGCATTTGGATTTTGATTATAAAACATGCATAATGGTAGGGGGAGCATTGCATAGGATTTTAGATAATTTCACATGCCTACACTCTAGGGGGAGATTATATCTTTATCATGTGATTATCTGTGACAAGGGGAGCAACATTGTTTGATTAATATGATTTACTGATGCATCTCTGAATAACTGTTTGTCAGCATATCATTATCATAAGGCATACCTTTTTTGCTAATGCACAAAGGGGGAGAATGCTGGGAGAATACTCTGATAATGTTGGGAGAATACTCTGATATACTCTGATATATTTTGATATATTACTCTGATATACTCTGATATATTTTCTTTGCTCTGATATGTTCTGATATGAATTTATATATATTTTTTGAGCTGAATCAAATGAGTATATCTCAAAATGTTTGCTCTGATACATTTTGATCATTTGTTAATCATTTGCATTGATACATTTTGACATTATATGATTTGATTTGTACAACATGGTTGTTTATTAATCATGGTTGTGCATCATCAAAAAAGGGGGAGATTGTTGAGATTGTTGATAGGGGAGCACTGGTTTAGTTGAACCTACAATCTCAGAGATTATTGTTTTTTATGATGACAACATAATTAATAACACATGTACTGTTTATGCGTTACATGTTCTATTGCTTACATGCTATATGTTTTAATCAATGTGTAAATCTGTTTAAAGCATTGAGAACGTGATTGTGTTGATACATTGCATTTCACTGTGCTATATAATTGATTTTATTGGTGAATGCATGTCTGATGTTTTATAGAAGGAAAACCACAAGCACTTATTTTGAACTTTTAATTGTGTGGCAAAATAGCAGTTTTAAGTCGACTTCATTATGAAGTGAGTCGATTAAAACTCGTGGCTTTGCACAAACCATTTTCAAAGTGTGCTGTGAGATTTTCAAAGTGAAAGGTTTTCAGAACTGTGTTTAACTGTGTTACATAGTCGATTACATGCAACGTGCATTCGACTAGTTTTGAAATTTTGTTAATGTTTGTATTAAATGGTACAACAGCTATATTTTTAAATATGCTGACCAAGCATTAAATGTCATTCGACTGCATTAATTGTACATTCAATTAACTGCATTGATTGCTCCTAACTGTTATAACAGAATTGTTATATTCGACTGCATTAGTAGCTAACTCAATTAAAATGCGTCTTAATTGTGAAAATCTATAAATTAATGCGAACTTGATTTCTGTAAGAACTTTTGTGAATCTAACCGTTTGTGATATCTTTTGCAGAAAGTGTATTCTTACAGAAAAAGAGAAAGAGCTCTAAGAAATGAATGTGGTGATCATCTACTTGTGGATTCTTGAAGAGCAAGTTAACTACACTCACAAAGGCTGATCATATCTACACATTGGGTGTAACTGAGAGATCAGAGGCTACATTCTTGTAAAGATTGGATTGAGGTTCCCTGTTGTGATTACAAGAAGAAGAGTGTGTTGCGTTCTTGACTTTGAGGGTGGCTCAAAGGGTTTAGACTATAGGAGAGGGGATTCTTACTGCTAGTATGTTTGTATATGCCTATATTTTGATTAGATGGTTAGAGAGGTGTTTTATATTTTTGACCTGAGGTCGCTATAAAAACCTTGTTGTAAAAACTTTGATCATTATAGTGCATTGGCTTCTTGTGGTTGGAAGGACAATGGATGTAGGCTTGGCCGAACCAGTATAAAAACTCAGCCTTTGATCTTTCTATCCCTACACTCGTTTATTCAATCGACTCCATACTGTACTAAATCGATTTAATTTCCACTGCATAAACAAATCTTTTTCTTTGCGTTTCAAGAAAGCTTTTAAAGGCATCCACTTTGCAAAAAAGATTTAAAGAAAACATTGTTTTTACATTTCACCAATTCACCCCCCTTCTTGGTGTGAGAAATTAAGCCATTCTATTTTCAACATTATTCACTATATTACTTGTAACGATTTGGTATAGTTTCCAAAAAGTTATCATTCATCATTTTCTTCTAAGACCGAATTAATTGTTCATGTAATGTAAATTTTACCATAATGGATAATAGTATAAGAGTGAAGTTGTATTTGATACTCTGCATTCACTTTAACTTATTTTTTGGTATATTAACATGTGGATGTATTTAAATGAGTTTATACCTTTTTCATGTTAAAAAAAGAAAGTCCATGAGTTGGCCTTAATCCATAGGACTTTGCAGATATTTGGCCTATGGGCTTTTTTAATAAAAGATTTTTTTAATCCTGTGAATTTTTTTGACTTCAATCCATGTGAGTTAGAACCAAATCCTATGAGAGCTTATTTAACACGTCTAGCTACTTGTTACCATCCTTGTTCCATTATAACACAATTATTGGATGATTTTGTATAAGAAATAACTATATGGATTAAGATTATTTTTATCTTTAATCATTTTTACCTCAAGATATATTACTATCATAACCACTTTGTGATCTCAAATACAAATAAAATTATTCATATTCAGTAAACTTAAAAAAGAGTAAAGTTTTTAGCTTTGAAAGTTAAACAGAATTTTGTAAAAAGGGTTAGTAAATCTGAATAGTTGGGAGAAAATTGGTGAGTCAAATAGCAGACAAAAAGATTTTACTTTTATTGAGGGAACGGCGGCTTGTAAAAATAGGACCCGTTATTGGATTGTGTTGGTGTGTGATTATTTGGTGCAAATGTCAGAAATCTAATGTTATGAAACAACCTAAATATTCAATGTCTATCTTCAATTATTTATTAGACCGTTTTGTTTGAGGAGCTTTAGGTTGTTTTTCACTTCTGAAATTGGTTAAATAATTATAGACGTTTCTTTTTTATTTGTTTATATGCCTAAAGATTTCTTGTTGGCTTGAGTTACCTAAAGAGATAAGTTAAGGGAGAATACATCACTTTAATTAATAATAGAAAATATTTGGCTAAAATATTGTGAGTAGTTTAGCATTAAATATATATATATATATATATATATATAAACTGTCATTTAATTTATGTTCTTCCATGTATGTTTAAGATCAAAGTTTTAGTTATTTTAGTAAAGTGTATCTTCATAAGCAAAAAGGGTTCTATGGTGTATTTAATTTAGTTATTTTACCCTTCTCATGTTTTCATTTCCTTCATTGGACAGATAACAACAAATATCATTTGTTAATAGAAAATCTTAATTTAAAGAAATTATAATTTCTCATTGAAGCTATATAAGTAATATTATTATCATACTCAATGCTTTAACATCATGAAATGTTATTTAATGAATACTTGTATTTTAATGTTAAAATAATGCTAAAATTATTTTTTATTTAAGGTTTAATGTCTCTGTAGGTCCTTATTTTGACCCAGAATCTCAATTAAGTCCATTTTCTTTTTGCCGTCTCAATTGGGTCCCCATTTTTGTAAAATTGTAACAATTAAAGGCCTACTGTCAAATTGGACAAACGGCCGTTTAATTGTTCGTTACGTGGCATGGGCAGTGTTTTCAGTAATCACAGGTGGAATTAAAAAAAGAGTTTTGTATTAAAAAGTACGAGGTTAAATGAGCTTTAGGGAAAGGGCACAGTGGAAAAACTCATTATGATTCCCATCTCACACTGACTTTCTATCAAACACCTTCTCTTCAACCTCGCCATGTTTATCATCCCAAACCCCACATAACAAATCTCACCCCTTTCTATTTTTCAGCACCAAAGCTTGAAACTTTACGAAATTAGGTTGGAGAATTTTGACTCATTTTTTTCCTTCTTCTCTCCAGGAAGTAGATATTAGAAGCGCAAATTAAATGTCCAACATCTTGTTGTTGATGTTTGAGATTCATGTATTTGATTCTCAGTGAGCTCTTCTTTTCCGGGTGTATGATCAATTCCACTGTTAGGCGCAGGACCCATTTAGTTCAATCCTTCTCAGTTGCCTTCCTCTATTGGTTGTACTACGTTTCATGATTTCTACCTCTTTCTCGCTATATCACTTATTATATATCATATAAATCTATAATGTCTACTGCTATATTTCTATTTTCATTATCATCATCGTCGCCGTCGTCGTCATAAAGTAATAATTTTTCGAGTCTGTTCGTGTCTAGTGTTTGGGTCCTGCGAACTGTGTTAACTAAGAAGGGTTGTGTTGTATTGTATTGTAATATTGTGTTGTGTTTTCATGTGTCTCATACCATGACTTCCTCAAGCGGAACATGTTCGGGTTCATCCTCTCTGCTTCAGAACTCGAGTTCTGAGGAGGACTTGCAAGCGGTAATGGATCAGAGAAAGAGGAAGAGAATGACATCGAATTGCGAATCTGCACGGCGATCTCGCATGAGGAAGCAGAAGCACTTGGACGATCTGGTTACCCAAGTGGCTCAGCTGAGAAAGGAGAATCAGCAGATACTCACCACCGTCAACATCACCACGCAGCAGTTCTTGAGCGTTGAGGCTGAGAACTCGGTGCTCCGGGCTCAGGTGGGTGAGCTGAGCCATCGGTTAGAGTCTCTGAATAAGATCATCGAACTCTAGTTGTGTGTGAGAAAGAGAAGGGAAGACCAATTACTGAAGTGGGAATCATAATGAGTTTTCCCACTATGCCCTTTCCCTAAAGCTGATTTAACTTCATACTTTTTTAATTTTTAATTCCACCTGTGATTACTGAAAACACTGCCCATGCCACGTAATAAACAATTAAACGGTCGTTTGTCCAATTTGATGGTAGGCCTTTAATTGTTACAATTTTACAAAAATTGGGACCCAATTGAGACGGCAAAAAGAAAAGGGACTTAATTAAGATTCTGGGCCAAAATAAGGACCTGAGACATTAAACATTTATTTAAATACTTTCTTCTTCTTTCTCTTTTAGCTTTCACATGTTATATGTGTCGAATTGAAAAACCTCAATGAATTAAAAGATAATTTATTAATATTTTCGTTAATATATATATATATATATATATA